ATTCACAATCCGATAGAAGAGTGGTTACTGAGTAGCTCGGGACGTTACCATCGCGTATATTGTACAGTGCCCTCACGCAATCATACGCCACTAGATGCGGCCGTGAGACTAGACCCTACCGCCGGTAAAACAGAAGTAAGGAATCTGCCTATAACACACCGTGAGGCTGATAGCAGTTGAGACATCGGACTAGCTCTGTAGATCAGCGGCTAACAAAGCGTGCAACAGTTTCTACTGCAGAAAATATCGCTAGAAATTCACTTTTATTCATGATATCCCTCCAGAGTTAATTTGATGCTATCACGTTCTATGGAATGTCAAACATATTGAAATGACCGTTGAGGATAAATAATAAAAAATATTTCTTGGATGTGTTCCATGGGAACGAAAAGAGTTCGATAAGTGTATATGGCAATTAAGCAGTAAGCCATTCGTACAAAAAAGAAACGAGAGAGAAAGAGGGAGGAACTGAGCCGTTGGCGTCTCTTAACCATTTCGGGATTTACTTTGCCGTTAACGACATTGTCACGTTCGCATTAGTCGCTATTTCCAACTGGCAGTCGTCATTCCACGCTGGAGTGTAACAGGAAGCAGCATATTGGCCTCGAAGAAGTTGGCAAGGTATAACTGGCCTACACAGCCAGTTGAGATAGCTTCAATTGTATGCTCCAAATGCATTTCCGCAGCGGTCAGTCAGCCATTCAACTGACTAACGGGCCGTCCGCTCCCGAAATAGTAGCAGCGTCCACAGGACGGCCAACAAGTAAGCCCTATTTACTACTGGCAGCCGAACAGGCAACAGCGCTGGCGGACAATCGACGTAGCAAATCAGGCCGCACGGTACCGGTGAACATTAAAACGAGGTACAACTGGATAATGCGGGTCATGTGCTCAAAAAAGATCACTTCGCGGTCAGGCCCTACGAGACAAGGACAAAATATTTTATCCCTAACTATTTCAAAGGAAGGAGCTCGATTTAAAATATGTGAGCGCTTGCACTAGTAAGTGGAAAATTCTACTGAAGGTCAGAAAATAAAAAACTGTTTCCCTATATTGCATTTTTCCTAGTACTACAGCTCTTATTAGCAAAGCTGACACGCTGTCGAACCGAAAAATGAGAATCGCAAGCGAGAAAAAACTAGTTAAAGATTTCGATTTACAATTACGTACGGAGCGGCTAGTGGTTCCACTCCAGCATGCCGTTTTCTATCTAGGGTATCTGTTTCAGCAAACTAACATATCAGTCAAAACGATAACGGCCACAAATGGCAGTCGGATTTACGGGGTCGCTATGCATTGTTCCGAAATAGGATACTCTTTCAAACGGGAACGATTAGACTATAAACGATCAAATTCGCAGTTGCTATGGCCGGTATTTGCAAAAAAATTCAAACACTGATTTTAAAAATCCGTGATAATAAAAGTACAAAAATCTTCATTATTATCTAAAATAATAATAGAAATACGAGTCCACCCTGCGTTTTGAAGTGCAATGTACAAAAGGTTTGTCACCATATAACAGCCAACCTAGTAGTCAGACGCCTACTGCGTTATATAAGCCACACAGGTAAAGCATCGAAAGCCGAAAATCAAGGGACTGACGGTCTAAAACTGACCACATCGCATGTCATCCATGTCCTTATTATATCTCTGTTCTACATCGACCACAACGATGCTACTGCCAACCGCTAGGTGTCGTTCCAGAACTCGATATAGCGGGTAGCTGTAAAGAGAGAGAACGGCAACGGACCAATAGACGAACTAGCCAAACGACAAGACGCTGGTAAAAACGCGCGTAAAAACAAGCAAACACGGAAGCAAGCACGCAGACAGGTAGGTAGACAAATGCGAGATCGAAATGTTGAGACGGTGGCGGTGGCAGCGGTAGCATCGTACAATTTAAAAAATGCGAAAAGGGTATACAAAAAAATGTGACCTCTTGCAAATGCCATTACTGCTATTACCGCCTGGTCGAACGCGATGAGGATAGGATCGCACTCAGCCGTGCAATACACTATGGAAAGGTTACCAGCCACATCGTTTTTGCGACGAGGCGAGCAAAAGCAACACAAAGATGCACGCTTTCATAAACAGTAACAAAGAATGACAAAAAAAAAATTAAAACGTGTTAATGGCCACCTATGTACATACAAACACATGCTCATACCGATATATATATATATATCGGTATACATACATAGAAGCTACATAATACAAAAAGCATACACATAAATCCAGTCCGCTTTTTTCGCTTAACGTCGCGTTTGAAATAAGATGCTAGTCGGTTAATTAATTATATAACAATGACCCAACCAACCTGTGCGGCCAAGCGATTGAGCGCTTGAGATGCCTGTTTCCTTATGCCTGTTTGACAGCTAGCCAAAGTGAAAAAAGGAATAACAACACAGAACTCTCTGTTAGGCATCTGAGGTGAACAGAGGACTAGCAACGGCTGACTGAGGTTCACAGTTGCTCTTCAGTTATCTCGTTTCTAACACCAGTCCGACCGACCTAACCCTAGGTCGAACTGTGATTTGACTACATTTGTTAGGTGCTATTTTGCTGCGATAATAGCCAATATAGGGCCAATGCAACACTGATTCTTTATAATAGTGAAACAGCTATCTATGATGAAATATCGTCATTTAAACCGTTTTGTACAACACTACCAAAGCTTGTTATCGATAATAATATTACCCCAAATATAGTCGTTCGCACATATACTGCTTTCAACTGGTCGATTCTTTGTATGCGTGTTTTTATTGTGATTACACTGAGCTGATCTGATTAAATCGCCTAATTAAATATAAATAAATTCATCTCAGGATAGAAAAAGACAATCCACTCACGTAACATTGAGTACCATTCAAGTTCACATACGGGTATATGGTTTAAAACCTGGTGATTCATAATTATAATCCCAAGATATCAATGTGAATCGATTGCGTGTATGAGTGGGTAGTGTTCTGGCAGCTGCTAGTTCTTTGTTGTTATCGCTGTGCACGCGCAAAAGATTCGAATGCGTTTGACGAAACGACGCGAATTTGTGTAACTGCGTCTCGGTTCTTGCCGAAGCCTTCCGTCTGCGGCCCGATGGGCGGACAAGAGCAGCAGCAACAGCAATGATATGAGCTGTTTTTTTGCTGATAGTAAATATTTCGCTAACGGTGGTTATAGTAATCACAGCTGCAGTCTCAACCTCAACAGTAGCAGCAAAAACACGCTTGAAGCCAACTGCTGCTGCTGCATCAAAAGCAGCGAGATGATGGCGATAGGACCAGCTGTGCTAGTGTAGCCGTCGTTTCTTTTGGAAACCCACCAATAACACACACATGCGAACAAACTATTAGGATCTAAATCGACTTCACTATTGCAGTAGAGAACAGATAAGTTGGCGCTGACACAGCTCGATATCAACTACTGCCAACGATGCTGCCACTTGAAAGGCCGTGGCCCGCAGCATTTTAAATCTTAGACTTCTCATTTGGACGAACAGCGCGTTGTTACTTCGTCAAAGGCCCGTCTCTTTCACGGCATACACAGTTTGGACTGTTCATTCTCAATCCTGTTGTTATAATAATTATAATACTCGAGTATACGGAAGATAGTAAATGAATTACAACATAACCGACAGAATCATTCGCAGCAGTAGCAGCTTTGCGCGAGATGCAATAGCCATTCAATTGTTAGCGTGTCGGTTAGAAAATTCCCTGCTGCTGCTGCTGCTGCCGCCGCCGCCGCCGCCGCTGCCGCCGCCGCCGCCACCGCCGCGCCGCAGTAGCTGGGATTACAGTTCAACGACGATCAAATTGTTTACTATCCCTGCAAAGCTGACATTTAATTCAATCATCAATGCAGCATCTGGCTGATATTTTGGGTCAGTCGCTTTTAAACGACACGTAAAATAGTCACATTATATTATTATCATTCTTAAATCAATATCATATCATTTGAGCTTTGTACCGTTTACACCTGGCATAGACTGAGGTTGACCTCCTCTTCGGATTACTAAGATCCGAGCTCAGCGGCCTCGTATGGCAATTGTCTAACAGCAGCACCATCACTAAAGGCAGTGGCACCAGGCCTTGTTGTGTTGTTGGCTGATTGGCCCGTTCCGTTTGTGCCTTCTGGCCAGATGGTGGGGTCTGCCAAGGTAGAGAGCGATGACGCATTCACCAGTGCTAGCGCTGCCAGCAGTAGTAGTTAATAGCAATAACAAGCAACTACCCTAGGCCCCTGTGTGTACGTCGGGCCTAAATAAAGGCTGTCTTCCGTTAGGCTATAGCACCAGCAGTAGCAGGGTAACCTTAATCGTCGTCGGGAACCTGGCCTAGATCACACGACAGTAGAGGGACGCAGGCATCGACCTTATACACGCGAAATGATTTACCTCTGACTTCCTGCTCCTCTCATATACAGTTTTCTCATAGTTCACCAGTGACAATTTACTGTCTATGCAAACGACTAACACAAGAATGAGAAATATTGGTAAATATATAGGAAAAATAAGCGACGTTTTAGCACCGGCCATGTCTAAAACACTAAACGCTGCCAGCACTGCCGCTGCCTATGGTCTTCTGGAATCGAAAATCAAACTGCATCTATTGTGTTATTCATCCTAAAACATGGATATCACCACATCATAACACGATTTTATTAAAGGCTCTGTCCTAATCATATCGTAGGTACATAGCATTCGCTCGATGCTCCAGGCACTGTTCGTTGCTAACAGCTCTGGAAGACGATGATGCCCGTAGTCCGACCTGCTGCACGACCAGCAGCTATTTGGGACCTCATTAACCATGTGATTGCCTATGCGGGCGTCTGTATAAGCTTATGTAGTTATGCTGCAGTGGGTTGGTCACGGGCAGCCTTCGTTTAGACAGGGCAATCCAGTTCAGCCATTTCCTTTTACCCTACGCACCGATCGTTCATTTTAGTTTTTATAAATATACGTACGTTCTCAAAGTTAATCAGACCTAAGTGCCGATGGTACTCACCGCTTGAAGTCACGCATTAGGCGCCGTCTCGCTGGGGTAGACATCCTTGCACACTAGTACTCTGTTGTAATATATTTATTTCCCACTGTTTATCTATAAGTACGTATAAGTAACAGATAAGCTATATGTCTATTAAGACAGACCCTCCTTGATTGCCTGCTTGGCTAAGATATATAAGCACTGGCACAATTTTTTACCACGACGAAGACTGACTACTTTGTAGCGTTTCTGCGTACCGTAAGTCTATCGTCGGGGCCCGACGTACCGACAAAACACCTCGTCGCGCACACAGAACTTGGAACAACCTTTCGCAGCAGTGCTAAAAGGGCTACGCAACACTATGTAAGAGCACTCGCACACACAGATTCGGCTGAAAAAACAAACTCCTTGTTCGTCGTGTTTCGTCGCACAAAATCAGAGGGCCCCCGCGCCCGTACAGCAGCACCAATCAGCGACTCGTCGCACCACTGTCTGTGTCTAGCTGTCGGTACGTCTGCCACACTGCTGCTAGGCTGTTACAGCAGTCGCACAGATCTGTTAGCCCGCTGTTGCTACGGCTTTTCCGTACGGCTCGTTGTCAGCCGCCCGTCCGCTGTTCGTGCTGTTTCTGCCACAGCACCACCACGTCCAAGACACACACCACCGCTTGATGAACGCACCTCCACTCGCTATATCGTAGTATCACATTGGCACGACAGCAGCTTCCTCTTGCTGCTACTACCAGCACAGCATTTGTTTAAAGGTTAATATAGCAGTCAATACACATCGGTGCTGCTGGCCTCGTCCCGGAGGGCTAGGAATAGTGGTGGTAATGGTGCTGCCGCTGCTGCTGCTGCCACTACCTGAAGCTGTTGTTAGTTGCGCACTCACGACTGTCACAGCACAGCATGAGTGAATGGATGAATTTGTTAAAGGTGAGCCACGCAATTTGAGTGGAGAGGGGTAAACGCATAAATGATTCGTTTCAGAACAACCAAAGCGCAGCAAAGCACCGGCAAATAGCAGCAGCGGCGGCAGCAGCAGCAGAAGAAGAAGATCAATGATGGAATGCCACAGCGGGCGCTTGGATTGAATGTGGAAAGGGGACTGACGGTGTTGGCGTACGGTATTCGCATTCGCACGATTCGAACTTGCGACATGGGCAGCCAGATATATTATTGACAGAGGACGGAAAACGAAAGGACCGTGCGCAAACTGATGAACGGCAGAGTAGAACAACGGAGAAATGTAGGGAAGCTGTTATATGTCGGTGACCATGATGATAAAATCTTCTAGTCAAACAATAACTCTCTCACTCGGAGTTCAGACTCACATCGGAGCTGCAGTCATCATCACCGCTGTATACCATTCGTGAAAGTTCGAGATGGTTCGCGAAGGTACTCAAAAAGGGGTGGAGAGGGTGTGTGAGAAGTAGATCTCAAGCATAAAAAACAGAGAGAGAGAGAGAATCGGGTGGATGTTACGATGTTTGTAATTGGAATTATACGCATTAATGAATGTGATTTTTCTTCATAGTTGTCTTTGTAAAATTGAATTAGACCAGTTTTCTAGTCGCTACTTTCGGCCGTTTTCTAATTAAACCTATTTTTATTTTATCATTCGAAAAAATGGAAGGACGTTCTAATTGAACCGGAAGAGGACTTTGTTGCAAACGTTTATCAATAGTAGTTACGTAAGTTATTCTCAAACGACGATGATATATTATACTATTTCTTCTCTAAGCATGATTCGTAGATGTATTGTGAAATAACTGTAGATAAAACAAGTCAGAGAATCAGCATTTTTGTCACACATGGTATGAACATATATGCTCGTCTTTCGATTGATCGACTCAGATGTTTTATGTGTGAAGTAAGTTTGTCACAAGCTCTTTACCGTTTACAGTCGTTTCGGATAACGCAACGGAATGAATAAGCTTGACACTTGGGACATATTCAGAAAAACTGATTTATTGGTATCTGTAGCAGGGCTGTTTCTGGCTAAGATTGTGCGCCGGACGGAGAAAAAACACTGCATGTGAACAGTAGTTTGGCCTAATTTTCTACGCTCCATAGTATATCCAACATAGCTCTTACTGCTACGCAGATCTAGTCAGACCGTACATTTCCTTCCTTTTTTTCTCAGATGTGCTGTAGATCTGGCATGGGCATTCTGATGAACGCTAACAGAATCAAAATTACCTCAGAGAAAATATATCACAGATGGGAGAGTCTACCGATGACCCACCGCGCAAGGTACGCCTGATACGAACAAACGCAGTTCTGTCTTACAGTGGGCTGCAGACCACTACCAGCGATCTATTCAACTGAGTGCAAAAACACGAGATAGTTGGTGCGCGCTCAGACAGAGACGTTATATCGTAAAATTGAACTGCGCAGCAGAGGCCGATAGACGTTCTTGTATATTAAATACTGCCGCGATTAGTTGGCAGTGATATATATGATACTATAGAACTGCCTAGTGCGTTTCGCGTAATGTGCGGGTTTTGGAACTTACAGCGATTTACATGGGATTAGTACATCAAGCAACAGGACCTTGTAAGACTTTGTGATATTCTTTTGTATCAACTAGAACTGTACGCATATTGTTTGTGGGGCTGAAACCCTTCGACGCCAACCTACTACGACTATAGTCCGAAGTAAACTAAATTACAAAACTTTACATCTATGTTAGTTTCACAAGTATTCACTTAGACTAAGTCTTGTCAAGAATATTTGACAGTTGCTGTCAGCCATTACCGTACTGCAGGTACTGTTTGACGATATAATAAGTTGCTTTGGCACAGGGCTGCTCCTCTTGGATACATAAAACTGACATAATTGAAATTCTAATAAAAGCTCGCGTCTTTTGAAGAACAGCCGGTTGGTAAATTCTCAGCTGGCAAGGTTAGGAAAGCCTCTAGTAGAATCTCGCTAAGGACGAAACGAAAGACGTCAACAAAACGCAGTACGATCATTCTAGAAAGCCTTTTAAAGCTATAAAAACAAGTAATTATCCAAAAGGGAACAATACCTTCGGGAATAAATTCGAAAATAAATGAGACATGACGACTTTACAAAGAGGGAGGCTGTAACGCTGAATCTCATACCGACTCACAGCATAATAGGTCAGTGTTTGGCCTTTAGTTGGAACATAAACTGTCCCGAATCTTTAGCCTAAAAAAACGCTGCATTTTGTCGCATTATAGCATCTAATTAAATTTTTTACAATTTGCTCTCATTTCTCAGTCAATTTATTTATTCTGTTTTGCGGGAAATAGTCCGACGTTAAAGAAAACGTTCAACCAGTGTTCAAGATACTCCTGCTTGTCAAACGTAGTGTTATGAATTTAATCTGCCAGTAAATCGGGAGAAGTGTTGATTCGTCAGCACGAGATCTAGCAAATATAATGGTTGTAGAAGAATCTTTCATCCAAGCAGGTTACTGTAGGCCGGCTTTCAGGATTTTTCTGTATATGGCCTTCCATTGACGTAGAGGGAGATGATCTGGCTTGTCTTTCAGCCCCTTTCTGTGGGATAGTATCCTTTCGCCCGATAGGACTGGGTCTGGTAATTAAAATAACTACCAAACTCAGTCCCATTTCTAGCTTTTTTTAAGTATTCCTCAGTGTAGAAGGCTCTTGTAGACCTACTAAACACAATTCATGCTTTTTACTAGAATGAAGACACTAGTCTTCGTCACTCATAACAACTCTGCGTAAAAACGACCCTTGTGGCTGCGTGTTGGCCAGCGCTAGGAGAAATGTTGATAATGCATTTTTTACTCAGTTTAGAGGGCACCCAGACTCCGCATTATTAAATAAATCTTTTTATTGCAAGATCCTTGCTGATGGTCATACGGAAGCAGTTCATTCTTTCGGCCCACTCGCGAGTTGTTCGCAACCATTTTTAAGCAGTTCTTTTACGCATCGAGTCCGTACCACACACGGCATAAATAGCCTAGACTGCCTCTTGACCTTGAGAGAAGGTGAAACAGAGAAGCTGTCAAAAATACCTTTTTGTTTGATCAGGATGAACATCCATTCTTGGAATCTGATGAAATAAAGTTCTGTTCCATGCATATCAAGCTTATACACTCTTGAATAATATAGAGAACTAAATGAACAAGAGAACCGGTAAACAAAAAGCAAACGATAATTTAAGGAAAGCGTGGCTGTTTATGTTCTAGCGTCGTATTGATTAGTATAAATCAATAATTTTTTTATATCGTTGAGATTAATTTAGAGTGTAGTTGCATGTAATTTTTATAGTAATATGGAATTTCGAGATACATCAAGTTCAATATTTTTGTCCCTCTTGCATAGAGCCTTCTGCATAAAAAAAACTACCTTTGTACAGAAAATTGTTGTGCAACGATGAAATTAACAAGTTAACTTGTGTGGCAATCACTTTTGATGTATTGGTCGACAATATAAGTAACGGTAACAACAAGGGTCGTAAACTCCCGATTGCGCAAATTTGAAGTAATCGAACAAAGGCAAGATGTGCGTTTCATAAGGACGATCTGAGCTAATAAATAGAAGAGATGTCCCTTGACCGTTTTTGTATGAATGCGTTTAGCTCTAGCAAACTAGCGACGTAGGAATTAAAGTTGGCATCGCCTCTATCAGGTCAAGGCTCCTGAAACTACGTAATTTGAACATAATGATTTCTTCTAACATGTATAGCCTTGTTCTATTGTATCGCGTACCGTGAATTTTCATAATTATTTCCGTTCTTCCGTGTGCTGCAAAAAGTTTTCGGCTCGCCCATGAGAAGCGCGTCGGTACTAAATGGAAAAAGGGTACTTGGAACCACACAATTTACTTGCTTATAAGAATGTTTTTACATTAGATCCAGAATTCGCCACTTGCTTTATCATGTGTCTTCACCGTCACGTTCATCTTCATCATCACCTCCATCTTCATCGTCACGTTCATCTTTATCGTGACATCTGTTTTGAGGATTAATAGTCGTGTTAAATTTCACCCTTATATCCATCCACCTTAATCTTCCCGGCGTATTTACCGTCACGTCACACCATCTTCATCGTCAAATCCGTCATCGTCCGTCCGCCAACGGCACTTCAACCAAAAGATAACTAATCTAAAACTTGGCTAAAAGCAAATATAGATAAAAGGAAAGCTTTTCCCTGGCCAACTCTGTACCTGGAGTGATTTATAGCTTTCTAGCTCTGGAATCTTTCATTTTCTTTTTTTAATTTTAGACTTATTCTTTTTTATCGATGTTTAGTTATATGTATTTTCTGAATTTTCTTTGTATTTTAGACAACTGGATAACATGGCTCGAGGAACCCGTAATAGAATCGCACCAAAGGCTGACTAAAGGACAGTAAATAAATGCAAGCTTAAAGGTTCTCATGCGAAAAGCCTTAGTCAACTTCTACACATAAATTTAAAGGTGATATCGCCAAAAATTCAAGCCATTTATAGCTGCTATAGAAATGAAACAAGGTAACTCTATTCTTACATCATTATATATAAAAACTATATAGATATTATATAGATAAAAAATATATATAGATTTTTGTTACGCACGACAAAAAAGATAACAACCTTACATACATGACATGCGTACATTACTGACAATATTATCTGTACAAAATTATTTAGCTAATAGATCTCAAAATGTATAAATTAGGCGAATAGTATTAAAATTAAGTAGGGCTGAAAAAGCAAAGTAAATTCAACCTAAAAGAGAGTGCCGTCCTTACAAATCTACTCTGAGCTTCTATTACTTGTGTTTGGACGGGGAGCATTACCTGTACATTTAGAACTGTATTTTAATATGCCCTTCTTAAAGTTACGCCATCATTTTTCCTTTTGGTTTTCGTGAATGGGCCAGTCTATGAATAGGGATTACGCACCGTACATCGTCACCAGAAAATTCGAAATTCAACCGGCTGGAAGTCAACTGCCCGGCGAAAAGCGAATGTGTTCATTAACACTGATAGCGCATTCTACAACAGGAACGTCTACTGTAAACAAAAACATATTTTTATTAATGCTAATGTATTTAGAGTTATTATTTATTATTATTATATATGTTATTATTATATAATTATAATGTAATGTAGAGTACGTATAATCATAATATAGTAGAAACGCAATCATTGCATTAAAATATCTGGTCAATATATGAGGACCTACGCCACACAAAATGTATCAACTGTGCTATTGCCTTAGTAAAAGTAGCTGTAAAAATAGTTGCTAGTTGGTTAACAGTAGTGCACTACCTAAATCTAACTTAATGCATCAGAATAAATATGGAAAAGCTCTTCCAAGTAAGACTTATTCATTACTTAGCTTTTCCGCGGGATTCGCAATAGCCAACGCTTACAAAATGAGCGTGGAAGAGCATGCAGTACCTAAGAGTGTCTGATACGTTAGATGTCTACAAACGCTGTCTTTGTTGACAAATTGACTTTTCTGTACCCAGTTTATTAAAAACAGTTGACATTTGTAGTACCAGTCGTTGCCAATCACGTGCACTGTATTGTGCAGGGCCTTTCAATGGAGTAAGGTGTCAAACCAAAATAAAAATAATGCGTTTGGGAAAAGTAAGCTCTAAGTAAAAAAAAAAACATGTGTTCAAACTAAAAAAATTTTTTTACCAAGCAAACGCATTTTTTTAACTGTGGTATTACGTTTCGTTATATTGTAAGCCTGTTGATTCTCCATTCTGGTCTTATCAGACGATTATTTCATTGCGGTGTTTTGACCTTAACAACTGAGTGCATTCTCATAATTTCTTCTGAGAAAAAAAGGTTATTTTTTACTTTTTACATTTTTATTTTTTGCAATTAGCACTTTGATAGACCTATCAATGCCTTTGTTAATTGCGAACATTAGCGAGACTTTCGTGACCGTGAACTGTGCCGTTCTATAATTCAACACAATACGATATTTGATTTCAACAACTAACGCAAGAAAGAAATGTACAGATACTGTGCTTATGCACCCATTAGTCTCGTAGATTATAAGAAAGAGCACAGCCTGTAGGGAGCTGCGTTAAGCTCAGATAATTTGTTATTGATTTAGGTCGATGAAGTAGACTCAAAAAGTTCGGGCAGGGCCATTACATGCTCGCTCAGACGTACTTCCAAAAGTGTCTTTTTTTTATCAAGTTGTTTATAATCAATTCGCTGCAAAACCAGGATTATGGAACACATTTTTTAGATTCTACTCTGTCTGCGGCTAATCGACAGATCCCTCATCTGATCTCGAGGGAAACGCAGTTGCTTTCGCAGCTAAAATCTGTATGCGTTATGTCAGAGCCGTCAACATCTTTTACCATGTTTGAACGAGGAAGGGTTGCTAAACACAAACGGAAAAAAAGACAAAAAAAGAGGATTCGATCAATCGTGATACATGGCGCCGGTTCTGACTCTGGAGACAGTCCAAACGCAGAGTGCAGGGTATCCGGTCACTCGGAGCTTAATTCTGAAGAAATTAAACGATCATATAAAATCTACATGGAAGCTGTACGGTTAGGCCTTGTGCCCACACAACAAGATCTCGAGGAGCGCGTAACTCTGGCTAACAGGTGCGTACTTCTTTAGTATGATCTTTCGATTTCGAAATGAATGAAACGAATAGTCCAATAGTTGAAGCTTATTTATTTGATGACCACATTACTTGTTTTTATTTTGGTTTGTTCTTTTCCAGAGCTTAGTAATCGAAGTTAACACTCCTTTTTATTAGGCTAAAGCGTGTGATTATCGGTTTCTACGTCTGTACGATGGTCCTGTCGTACTTAGTGATATGGCTTCTCATATTTGCCCTAATTCTTCCGTTCGCGAGTATTCTGCTGCAGAGATTTGCTCGAGAAGCTCACCGCTCCGTGAGTTCAACTTCTGAAAGACCCGTTTTCGAGAATGACTACGAATCGAATTATCCGGAATATTCGAATATGTGATTGGCCGATATTAGTCATAGGACGCCGATGCAGGTGTTACCATACCGTCGCTGTTATTTACAATGCTCTCAACAAAAGCTAGAAATCGGTAGGCGCCTAAGGTCTCGCATTTTTTCCATACGTTCATTGAATGGTTATTACGTATAATTGATGGTAGACTCTGCAATCATTAGAGACTCGAGGCCATTTAGTGTGAAAAATTTTCTGTAAAAATGTAGTGCTACGCTTAAGAGGAGATATGATTTATGAATACGACTGTTTGAAAAATGGCTTCATAACAAAGATATTTGTTTAAAGCATGAGCACTTTAGGTATTTTTTTAGGAGTCGTGAATGGGCTCGAAAAAATTATAAGTTGGCTTCCCAAGGGAATCTAAATATGATAGTCGCGCGGTGATTTTTCACCACCTTGGCTCGTTGATTCGGCTGCCGTGTAAATTGTCTAATTATAGTTACATCTAATGGTCGCTCTGCTCATTGAAAATGCTTTCTGTTGTAACAGAAATAGAAGATGAATGTCCGCGTTCTACCTGGCAAAAGGTCGATCTAGAATCTCCTAAAACACTGCAAATTCTAGCAATATTTTATGATACATACAGTGATAGGGTAATAATCGAAGTAAATCTAACACAAATTAACTTTCTAGCTATACATAGCTGCAACACAAATGTTCTTGAATTCAGGTGTTTTATTTCAAAATAAAAATTTGTTTACTCTCTTTGCTCGACTCGTGTTTGTCACGCACTACAAGACTATCACTGATTCTTTTTCAAGCTTGGCGCGAATGCTCCAGGAAAGCCACGAAACGCTGGTGAGGAATGGACAAAAAAGAGTGATCCAGCGCAGTCTAATGTCATTGCTGAACATCACGTAGAGCAATCTGCCGAGGTATCGTGCAGCGTAAACTTGTAGTAGTGGTAATTGAAGCACGCGGGGTAGAGTAGTTCAGAAGGCGAATATCTACTCATAAGTTTCCTTTACCAAGAAGCTTTGTACTATTTATTGATATATGCTAACGTAAACTGTGGGTTTCTATGATAATTATAATGAAAAAAAAACATTTAGCTCATTTTATACTGCAAATATACTATGTTTTACAAACTGTTTCATAAGTCTGCGCAAATGACCCTCTATTATAAATTATTGGTGAATTTGGTTGTTGCTGATAAACTATCTTAATGTAACATCAAAACTTGTGCATTAGTGGCGGAAAGCTTCGTAGTTGACTGAACATCATGTATTTTGGTAAACAGTAAGTACAAACAGTAAACACAAAGTAAGTGTAAGTCGCTTACCAAGTTTTCTATCGTGTCCAGCGATTCTAGCATGCTTTATATATCAGTCCTCCGTTTAGGGCTGATATATAAGAAAAAAAAGCCCTAGACACTTGTTTAGCATTTCCTAATTCTTCAGCTTCTTTTTGAATGGTCTATTTGCCGAAGTGGAGGGACAATCTCAATAAGGAAATACAGCCCCTCTCTGTATCTGAACCAACTTATAACGCAGCGGTAATTTCAACGTTTGTTTAAACACTTAAAATAAAAAAAAGGGCTGTGTCTAATACATTTCCTGCGAGGTGTTCATCTCAAACAGTAGTGTCTACATAGAACCGTGTAAGAGACTTAGTCCTCTATTTTTAAAAGACACTTGCAATCTACTTTAATACCTATTTGTCGCAATCTACTTTAATACCTATTTGTCATAATCAGAACTGTAGCATTAAGAACAAATAAAGCTTGAACATCTCTTTGCGTGCACTGATAATGTTTTTTTGAGAGTATAAAAGAGTGTAACAGTATGAGACTTTTTATCGGTGAAATTGAGAAGACAGCTGCATTTGACTTGTAGAACAAGTACATGCTATTTATAATTTTTATTTAATATATAAAGTAGGTATGTTACAACGGTAAATCGTTTTTTGCATTTTTTTTATTAATAAGCAATGCCAGAAGGTAGTATCAATGTATAAGACCCAGTACGGCTAGAGCCGTAATCAGTGGCTTCTTCGCTCTTAAGTTGCGGTGTGTAGTAGTCAAATATTAAATGAGGTTAACACGCATAATCAATAATAAGGCCCTCAGTACTGGAAGCACATAGATTCCTATCACATTTATGTATATGACACGAACTCTTAGACTTCGCTTTCAATTAGATAAATACGGTACGTACCTGACATGTACGTACGTGTTTTAATTACTTACTAATGAAGAACTATGAGGGAATATACGAACAAAAACAGTTTACTGGGATATGAGATAGGATGCCCTGTATATTCTTTCCGATCTTTGCGACACTAGGCAATATAATCAAGGCGTAACTGAGTTAAGTATCCTAACAGATTTTTCATAAAATCCAAATACTGTTTTAACTCTACATAAGTTTAGATTTTATTGGCGGATAACAATAAAGGTGGATCAATAAGTAATTGTCGACTTTGCACCAGGCGAAGCTCCATAAAAGCTGCGGAAGACAGATCGGGTCGATGTGCTGAAACGTTCGCGAATATTATTATTAGTAGTAGTATTAGTAATTGTAGTCTCTTTCTCGGAAGTCATGTAAAATACTATTGCAATTATAATTAGGCGCAATTTACGCAGGATCTACCTTTCAGTTCCTTGGAGAATTCCACTGTATTTTGTAGTATCCCTTGTACGGTACTCAACGCTTTGAGCAGAGCCTTCTCAAGGCACTCCTCGTTGGTTGTCCATGCAAGAATTAATGCTGCAAAAAGATCGCCTGTACCCACGAAGTTGCCTTCTTGCCATGGAATTTCAAATTTGCAGCGATTTCCATCTAAACCGAATGCCATACGCAAAGTAAACGTTCATTAAAATGTAAGAACAAATTGAATACATATAGAGCAAAGCGACGTTAACACGTTTGGTACAAATAAGTTCAACGCTCATGATGCTAAAGATTTAGCAGGTTTTGAAAATTACGACAGGGTCATCATTTATTCAGGCAGCGAAACTGTTCTTGTGGCACACTAGTTGCAATAACAATGCACACTATACACAACGCCTTTATCTGTGACGAAAGCTACTTATTCTGAGTAATTCAAGTTATTATATATTGGATTACCAGAAATTAATGGGCCGTTTTTAAGTCAAAACAGAAGCAAAAATAGAAACAAGCACTTTAATAATTAAACTAAATCTACGACCTTCTACCGTTTTCTTGGCAATACCATAATCTAATTATTTTAGAACTTCTGTAGTTTCTGAAAGAAATTGTAGTAAGAGATTTTTGCATGGTTTATCAGAAACTGACTATTTAACACCTTTAGGCGGGGTACTGCAGACACCGAAAAAGATGGTAGTCTAATAAGGTAAGGTCCAAGCCCTACGATGGATGCACTAAAACTTTCCATCAAAGTCCTTTCAATTTTTGCCAGGCAGCTAAAAATGTACATGGCTTGGCATTGCCATGGTCGAAAATGACCTCTTTTCTCTTCACTATTTTTTTTACAATAATTTGTGATCTTGCTACTTCCTGTAGAGATTAAAACCATCGCTTTACCAATCATAATGCGCGATTTCTTTCCTCTTAAGTACTTGTTGGTGGGTCTGCACTTCATTAACATTTTTCGTAATTTGTAGAGCACTACAACGACCATCTTTTAGATGAAAACTTCTAAAACTAAAGCAACAAAAGTGTCTTTAGGCCGTTTTTATTCGATAACGCATTTGAAGCATAAACATTGCAAATTTTATATGGACTTGAGCGGCGTTTGTCTTCATCCTTTGTATTATAAAGTTGTGCGATATATCGATTTTCTACAAAAATTCCATTCATCTGAGTCAACTTTAACACGCCCTCTACTACCAAATCTCAGCTTTCCGATGTTTTTTGACATGAACTAGCCGACGTGACTTGTATCGCCTGAAATATGACTTTAAAGTCATGTAGCTTGAAAAATGGTCAATATTTCCTTGAAAACCCAATATTCGATCACGGCTTCTATAAATCGCCATTTTAAATTACCACTGAAATTTCGTTTCTTATCGTGGTATCGAATTTCCGTCAGACTCTTCAACAACAGACATTAAAACCGAGATGAGCGATTGCATCTGTTTCGATACAATAAGAACAATTTTTTGGATCCAAGCGAAAGTCACATCAACGTACGCTATACACACACTGGACGGACAATGATATCTACGCTAAGTTCTGAAAAACATTCAGAGATTTTTTTAAAATTTTTACGCTTGCTAGATAAGGCATCCATTGAAACGTCGGAACTAACCTTTTCGGCGTGATGCAATACAGGTAACCACTGAACGATCTGTAAATATGGCAGACGTGAGTACCACAAGAGAAACTCCCAAGTCATGCAGACGCTCGATTGCCTGCCAACAAAGAAAATTAAGAAATAAATTCAGTGTGTATATAGAGACGCATTGTGATCAAGTTCGGTTTCACCTGTATTATTTATAGACTGAGACTATCACTTCGCGATTAAGACAATAGAGACGAGCCGATAGAGGCCCGCATTCCTACATAAGTTTATCTATTGGTCGCATTTAGATGTTGAGACAGCTTAAATATTAAGCAAACAATTATTGGTGATATGTCAAAAGCCGTTATTCTTCCTCATGTCCTATGTTTTAGATAAATGCGCCTCATTAAAAAAATCCATCAACTGTTTTATTCATACCTTTTTTGTAACATTCGCTACCAAAATTAAGTATTGCGAATTATGAAACGTAAATTAAGTTTTTTGGTAAGAAAGCACTGAATTTCGCTATTCGTTAGACAAACATGTGCTAGTAGGGTAAACTTTGAATTGAACTTAAATCGTACTGTCTGTGTGACATTTAAAAAGAAGTAATCGACACGAATTTGAAACGCGGAGTTCTGTATTAACCTTGATGGCATCCTCTTCAGTTTTCACATCAAGTCCCGTGAGTTCACCCAGCTCGAACTGGTTAGGAGTGAGGATGTCACACAGCGGAAGTAAACGAGAACGGTACTCGTCAGTCAGCTCCTGAGGAACATAATATGAGCCGTGATCTCCGAGAACCGGGTCACATACTTTAAGATGATCGAAAAGAAAAACAGCAATAAAAACGAAAACACCCATAACTGATAGCGCAAAAATATTGTAGTAGGCCATATAGTTAGCATACGTTTGCTGTAGTCTGGCATATCATTCTCCTTAATTTTTTTTATTTCAACCATATTTCGAACCAAAATTAATAATATGATCGAAAACAATTATTAAGTAAAATGAATGTACAGGGCTACTGTAATATCAAAAAATATAACCAGAGATGTACTTACAATAGACAACATCCTTGTTATGTTCTTTAATATCCTTGACGATATTAGCAAGCTCGCGAAGGAAGTCGACGCTTACTACGTAACCAGTTATTACGTGGGAGTACTCGGTCACCTGCATATCACCAACATCGTAGAACAGAAACACGCATATTAATCATCAATTCAACCAACCGTTTATTCTTTATTGATTGCCTCTAGTAGATCGTCTCGGTTGTGTCTAGTAGTGTAGGGGCTGTCTTCAAGATGCAAATGATTGTTTTGCCATCAAATGATTAGACTGGACTTCTATTTTAGGAATTATATAACTACAAGACGAGTCATAACGAAGCACGAAATTATAGAAATTTAGAAAAATGCCTCAAAGTACGATCAAACCAGCTACGGAATACATCTCCTATCAGAAGCCTATGTTTAAAAAAATGTTTTTATTGTTGATTGTTAGCTGTCCCTTCTATGACAGGCCTTAGTAGCGCCAACATTGCTTTAAGGACCTGTCAAGTTAAAGAAGGTTCCTATAAAGATCTAGAGGTGCCGAGCTAAAAAAGGATTACTTCATAACGGTAACAGGCTCAGTGAGTGACTCTTAGTACACTGGACCATTACGCAGTTACGAACAAAGTAGACGCACTTTTCCTTATTTCGGCAAACATTGCCAGAACCTTCGAAGCGATGACCTAATTTATTTTTCGTTTTCATTTTCGTTATTGGCCATCGTTATAAGCCATCTGCTTTGATATAAATCTGAAGATCTGTCTTTCAGTCCGTCCAGCTGATGCATAATGAAAATTACAGTCGGTTGATTCCCTTACGCCCAGCCCCCATAGGTTGCAAGTAAAAGAGTGCAATTGCAGCTGTGCATATATATAGCCTTGTCTGTCAGCGTAATCCAGCAGGCCATTTAGAGATACGACAATACAAGCCTAAGAAAAGGCCGACAAAAACCAGTTTTGCTAGCCGAAAAATGCTACACAATAAGTGGCAATGTTAAGTGGCACATACCGCTGGCAGAGATAGCTTCTATAGAGCAAACAGAACTAAGGAGATGATAATTAGAAGTATCAACGACGTCAAGCTGGTTTAGCGCTACGATCCCTAATTCATTATATTTAATAAAACTCGCAATATAGTTCCGTTACACCAGTTCGTTTTTGAAAAGCAGAACTAAAGAACATATAGCCTTGAAAGAATAACTTTCCTTAGAAAAACTTTTTTTTTCAGAAGCAAACTTGCTAATAGTGTCTTCTGATAAAGCCAAGCGATTGATTTTAAATGCACTTATGAAAAATTAACTAAGAAACAAGTTTTCATGCCACTGTTTTCTACAATCAACCTACTTCTCACTCAGTCCCGACGTGTATTTCCACTTGAATAAATTTACTACTGCTGTACTTCGATCCACTAAGATCTGAAATACACAACTTTTACACAACTGCATAATAGCTACCAAGCAATAGCCATACTTACTCGAAGGTAACCAACACTATTGGTGAAAAAAAACCTATATGATTGTACAATTAATTTTTTTTCAAATGAGTGGTTCGTTCTTTCATATGATTTATATTTGATGTAAAAGACATATTTACCTTGTTAAGCTTCAAGCCTTCGAAGAGATCACGTAACTCCATTTGACTCACTTTTGTCCCTTTCGTCACAGGATACCCTAAAGTTATAACCATCTAGTTTGACTCGCAATCTGAATGTTAAGCATAACTGTGAAGATATATATGCTATGAAAATATTCTGCGTTATAACTAATGTTAGAAGAACTGGAACAATAACGTATTATAATTTCTCAAAAAATAACAATGATCTATGATGTTAAAATGGCGTATAGGTGAGTAATAAATAATACAGCTTAGCTATCTTGAATCTAGACGATGCTAACCTGTATGGTTGGAAAATTGTACAGAATTTATGAAATCAACCTCAAAACCGAGTGTCTGCAACGGAAATACAGCACACCGATTTCCTGCATATCCTCGCACGACATGACTTTGTATAGAGAGTACGCGAGGCATAGTAGACATCTGCAAACAATCAGAGCCATATTACCTAGTAACTATTAAACATTTCTAGCAAACACACCAAGAGAGAGCAACACGACAGCCTGGCAACGATCTTATAATACTTCACAGTAGATTCCGATGCGTCGACGCAGTTAAATTCCAAAACGACACATGGCTACCTAAGCACCGAACAACTTCACACCTATCTGCGAAGCAATTCTTTTCAAGTTCTGCACAGTTGGCAAAGAAGTATGCTGGCGGCTTCTAATGCCTATCTAATTTATGAAAGTAATGTTTTTTACATGACGATTTTCAATAATCTTCTGTATATGCTGCGTAAATAATCGTCTGTCGATCTAATACTGCTCACTGTGAAAGGATGTATACGAGAGATTTGCTATATGAGCGTTATTTAGTACTTTCTTCGAGAAATGCGTAACAGGTGATTCCAAAACGATGTAATAAACTAGTCACATGAAGAATTCACAATTAAAAAAGGAAACCAAACAAAACTGCGTAAAGCTAGATGCCTTCTCATTTTTTCACACGTTGAGTATACTCCACTGGCTAAACCAGTGTTAACGTCATACCTTTTTTTTCGCAACGATGACCTAAATCTGTACTGCGTGTTCAAGACAAATTGCGTCACTTCAATAGCACCAGTCACACTGACACCCTTAACACTACAACGTTTAAATATGAAAAAACATCGGGTACTACTTTTCGAATCTCCCTCGCAGAGTAGCCTAAATCAAATTTTAAAAACAGTGATGATCGACATTGACTGGTCCGATATATTTTGCTCGAGAAGTACTATGCTTATTCCTGGTTGCCAGTCGTGGCTTATCTTAGTCATACTAAACTTTACGACTTGCTTCGTCTGGATAATGGAATTTTTCTTTCGCCTAACCTGCACCTATGCATTGTATGTGGACTCACTTTAATCGCAGCGCGTTAAATAAAGATATTAATGAAACGATATTGACTATTTTATATGACGGAACTTAATATTAAACAAAAAATTGTCAGATATACAGACATTTAATTCTTACAGCGGAGTTCTTTGGTCTGCTTAGTCCAGTTGCCAGGCGCAAATGGCAACTACGCCCGCACTAAAGTTGGGTCACCTAGATAAGCGATTGTTTCGCGTTTCACGCTATTTTCTTTACCCGTTCGTCGGCCTCCTTGTGTTTGTTGTTGTGGTTCTCGTTTTTGTTGATGTTCTGGTCGTCATCACAATGATAATTTGATAATGATTAGCACTGTCGAAAAAGAGACGATTAATATGTTCGTTTAAAAAACTTTGTTATCCAGCAGTATTATGCTCAGTATAACAGGCCAAGCTGACCGCTTCTTCTAAAATGGTCTTTTTCAATTCGTGATAATTTGCCGACAGCGAACTTGAATTGAAGCTTGAATGCGTATAAGCCTAAGATAATCTCAAGGGCACACAGATTGATAAATCTGGGCAAGAATGTCTGTATAGCAACAGGTATCATTCGGCAATTTCCATATATATAAGCACGTTCTTATAATCACATTCAATTCGAATAACATTTGCAGTTTAATATTGAACTAAATGCATTAAATAAACAGAGGATATGAGACAGCAATACATGAAGATCGGAAAGGCATTAATCGGTCGATAAGATGCGGAAAAAAATGTTTCAGTACTCGGATGGAGATAACTGCGCTAAACTCATTGCATTTGTCATTCCTAGAAATAGATGGTTTTACGAACACTTGTGACTTGACTATTATCCATGTCAATATATAATTTATAAAATTTAATTGTTGTGATTAAATTTTATAAATTATATATTGACATGGATAATAGTCAAGTCACAAGTGTTCGTAAAACCATCTATTTCTAGGAATGACAAATGCAATGAGTTTAGCGCAGTTATCTCCATCCGAGTACTGAAACATTTTTTTCCGCATCTTATCGACCGATTAATGCCTTTCCGATCTTCATGTATTGCTGTCTCATATCCTCTGTTTATTTAATGCA